AGTTTGCAAGCAGAGAGGCAGAAATGTGCGGTAGTTACTAGTGTAAACTCCTCCTAATCTGCTTACATTCGACACTCATCTCTCCCATCTACTTAATCCACATGACCTTGGGCAAGCTCCAAAGCCACTCCAAGCCTCAGTTTCCTCACCTGTAAAAATGGTAATAGTAATTGTGCCTACCTAAGAGAGTTAGGAGCATCAAGTGAGACGCAAGTAGGTAAAGAACCTAACATATATACCTACTTGATACATTGTTTAAAAAAAAAAGAACCTAGCACAATGCCTGAAGGTCGAAAAAAAATGTTGGTGGTTTTTGTTATAAACACTATTATTAATAAAGCAACACCAACCTGCCTTCCTCCAGTTCCCTGAAGGGATATTTACATTTAATATTATTCCAGGTCCTACAAACAGAACTAAAACCTGTGGGTGCTCAGCAGTTCCTTTTGTTTAATTGAAGCAGCCGTGAAATGTTTTCAATGGCTCCATGTAAGTGTTGGTAAATTTTCTTTTTTTAAAAAGAAACTGCTCTAAAATGGAGGCCTTTCATTGATAGCCACAATGCAGTAGCAAAACCCAACAAAATTCAATCACCTCTTGATTGAGTCAGGCCAGCCAAGAAGAGAATTAGACATTTGAAATCAACAAATTGGATTTGGTGCCTTTTGCAGCCTCAGCAGTTGCTCCCTGACTAGTTCCTCACAAGATCAGAGGTGGCTGCGTCGTCTTCCAGATTCCGTAGGCTGACATGTTCTATCTGTATAAAACAGTTTTATTTTCCTGTGTTTATGTTCTGAATGAATATTTGCTTCCAAAGTTATTATAGCTGCAAAACACATGCTGAGTGTAAACTCTTCTCCCCCAACATATAAAATGTATATGCATTTATACATATATATAAAACTGCTGCTTAAAGAATCTGTTCTTATATATGTGGGAGGGCGGGGGTTTAGTAATGTATAGCATTCAAAATGCTTAGTTACATAAATTATGTTCACGCTATTTTGAGCTGCCATGCTCATTTTTAAATAAAATATCCCCCACCCTTTCCACAGATTAGGCACTAATTCAGAACTTCACTTCCATTTCCCCTCTTTCTCCTGATTTCACCCAAATATGGCTGGTGGGCTAAACACCCAGCTGTAGATCCTTGGTATTAATAAACACAGCAGAATTTTTTTTTCTTTTTTTAGGCACTCTTTATTTTCTCAAAAAAATTGTCATTAATATATAAACATCTCATTCTTTCAAAAAAGTCTACAACTATACAGCTATTTGCTCCATTATTTCACTATTTGGATTTTTTTGACTAAAAATCCAACACAGTGAATTCTTTTTTTTTTTTTTTTTTTTTGCCTTGTAAAGCTAAGCACAATTAAAAATCCTATAAGTCAACATAATAAGTTAGCAATGGGGAAAATAATGCTGTTCAGCTGATTGCATAGAAGAAATCGATTATTTTATTCTCCCCTCCTTGCTGTCCCCGCCGCACACAAAGACTGCAGACCCAGCACATGTGTGTTAGCTGAGGATACTGGCATGTTGGAGACACGCTGATCTTGGGGTGCATCCTGGTGCCTGGAAAGTGAGCAAGTATGTCTCCAAATAGTTGTGACAGGTGACATGGTTTTTGTTTTACGTGTTGTTTATTCTAAGAAAATCTTTCCATCTTTTTCCTAAGATAAAGACATAAATCTATAACCTGGCTGACAAGGCCCCACCTGGGGGGCCCCTTGGCAACTTCTCCATCTCATCCTGCACCCCCATCCCCTCTCCTGCCATCTTCCAGTTCCCAAGCCATGTTTCAGTCGCCTGTGTGTTATACCCCTCGCCTATGCAGGAGCTTGGTACATGCTCTTTCCTAGCTGTTTTCTAAAAACTTTATTGAGATATAATTCACATACATTCATCCACTTAAAATGCATAATTTGATGGCTTTCATCATATTCACAGGGATGTACATCCATCACTACCATCAATTTTAGAATGCTGCCATTATCCCAAAAAGAAATCCTACACCATTCAGCCATCATCCCCAGTTCTCCCATCTATCTCCCCAGCCCTAGGAAAATACCAACCTACTTTTTGTCTCCATAGATATGCCTATTTCTGACCATTTCATATAAATGGAATCATATAATGTGTGGTCTTTTATGACCAGCTTACTTCACTTAATGTTTTCAAGGCTTATCCATGTCATACATTTATCAATACTTCATTCATTTTTATTGATAAATAATATTCTATTGTATGGATATGCCACATTTCATTTTATTCATTCATCAGTTAATAGACATTTGGGTTACTTCTATTTTTTGGCTATTATGAATAATATTGCTGTGAACATTCTCATACAAGTTTTTGTGTAGACAAATGTTATTTCTCTTGGATATGTATGTAGGGGTGGAATTGTTGGATCATATAATAACTCTATGTTTAAATATTTGAAGAACTGCTGGACTGTTTTCCAAAGTGGTTTCACCATTTATCATTCACACCAGCCATGTATAAAATTTCAATTTCCCTACATCCTTACCAACACTTGTGATTCCAATCTTATAATCTTTTTGATTATAGCCATTCTAGTGGGTGTGAAGTGGTATCTCATTGTGCTTTCTTTCCTAACTTTTGATCTGGGTAATAGCTACTGGATTTTAAAGCTGCAGCTTAAAAAAATCACTTCCATAGGGAATCTTACCTTGACCACCCCACCTCTGACTAGCCTAGGGCTCCTCTCAGAAAACCCATATTTTCTCTCTAAACTTGAAGTTCAACATGGGCAGGCACCATCCCATCTTTTCTTTGTACTCCACTCTATCGTCAACACCTAGCCATTGTATAAACTATAAAGTTGCTTGTTTAAAATGTATTCAATGAATGACACATTTAAAAAAATGAGGAAATGTGTACATTATTTGAAAATCACCTGTATCAGAATAATTGTCATGATTACCTTTTAAATCTATTTCATTTTTCAGCATTCTCACAGACCAAACTATTCAGGTGTATTTTAATATCACTGGCAAGGGCAGGAAAGAGGTCCTACAATCTAACCGTAATGAATGCTTCAATTTTCCTGAATATTATGGAAGCTGTACAACTTTGTGTTTGTTAAGAAAAAACCCCTCTGTCAGGAAGTTCAGTATCCACAAGCAAAATCAAATGGACTGTGTATATAGTTCTTTGCTAAGTTAAGCAGTAAACAAAAACGAATACTTTTTGAGAGAAAAGGAACTTAGGGGGACTGATTTTCTTGCTTTCACTATGTGAACTAGGCCATAAACCTAGAGATTTCAATTCAGTAAGTCTGGGTGGGGTCCCAGGAATATGTATTTTTAACCAAGTCCTCAGTGATTCTAATGCCAGTGGTCCATGAGTTTCATGTCGGAACAAAATTCATCCTAGTTAATGTCCTCATTATTTAACATAAACAGGTCAATTTCAAAGTTAAAAAAAAATCACATTCTGAAGTAGACAGAAATTTCAACGCCTGGCCCAACATTTACTATGTGGCCTGGAACAAATTAGTTTCCCCATCTGCCGAGGGGGATGGAAGAATACAGGGCCTACATTACAGGGCTTATTGTAGGCACTAAATTAATTAATGCATACAGAACGCAATATTTGGCACATGAGAAATGACCCAATATGTTAGTTGTCATGATTATTTTATTATCATCATTATTATCTAAATTGGAAGAGGATGTGCACAACAAATCTGTGTTTAAGGGATTGAGTTTTGCTTAGTAAGAAAAATACTTCCGAATCATAAATTTGAATTTACCAGGTTCGTCAATGGCTTTCTCACCACTGTTACTTTGATAGATAATTTTCCAAATGGCACTTTATGGTCATGTGTAAGCCTCGGTCATGTCTATTTTCAAAGGCCTCCCTAATAGTCATTTCTGAAGAAGAATTTTGGCTCCTATATTAAATTACAGCTCACCACTTAGTTCTAGTTCACACCACAAGCTATACTGTATTGGATATAACACATCTTCCATAGCTGTCATTTAGTGAGCAGAAAGTATTGCCCAAACATCTTATTTGTCTCTATCAAGTAATATATTGAGCCTGGATGCTATCCTGATAGAACTTACCAAACAGAAGTTATAAAAGTTCAATAGAATTAGGATCAATTGGTCATTTTACAGAATTGAGAATGTACATTCATTTATCCAAGTAATATGTACTGAGTGTCTAAAAATGTCAGGCATTTGGGATACACAGAGAAAGAGAAAACCAAAATTCCCTCCATGGTGGAGATATGATATTCACAGCTGAGGGGGCTGTGGAGACAGGATGAAACAAGCATTCAAATTCATTACCAAGACAGCTCTACCTGGTGATGGGTGCTATGAATGACATTAAGGTGATGTGATAGAGAATGTCTAAGGAAGGAGCTACTTTATTTAGATCAATGCAGGAACAGGCACTCCCAGCAGATGTTTGAGCTGGCACCTGAATATCAAGGAGGCAGCCACGGGGAATGTCAGGGGGCAGAGCGATTTAGGAAAAGGGACAGTCAATGACAAGACCCTAAGAGAGTTCTGTGTTTGACATAACTGAGAAACAGCAGGCCAATGTGGTTGGAACAGGATGATGGAAAACAGAGTAGAAGGGAAAGAGGCTGAACACACAGCTAGAGAGTCATGATATACGGCCTTGTGGGCTGTGCTGAAGAGAAAAAGCACAGGAGAATTTAAGCAGGGGGATGTCGTAGCCTAATTTGTAATCACTTCAGGTTGCCTTTCCCCTCCCTCTCCCCTCTCTCCAGGGTGACTACCTATTATGATAACCAGTTGGATGATGTTTCATTACAATATTTATTTCCACATTTCTAGCTATCATCTCTGTAAATTCCTTAATGAATTTGTCACGTAGGCATGTCATAAAACTCCCAAGGCACATCTCATTTTGCTTTGGAAGATGTAGACACAAGCCATCTATTTGTGTCCCCATGGGATTTAAAGAATGTCTCCTTAAATCTGGTGATTTAGGTTGCACCAGGTGACGTTTGAGGTGCCTACCTGCGAGGGAAAGGAGCGGCAGAAGCTGGCATTGATTGGTGACTCCTCGTCCTCGGCAGAGTTCTTCGTCACCGTCGCTGTCTTCGCATTCCTCTACTCTTTGGCTGCCACTGTCGTTTACATCTTCTTCCAGAACAAGTACCGGGAAAACAACAGAGGCCCACTCATTGTAAGTGCTTTTCTTCTTGAAATAACTTTTTCTGTCCCTTCTAATTTCTTTCACTAATGCTTGAAGGACTTGGAGTTATCTGAGCCTTCAGGGTAGGTATTTGAAAGGAAATCACATTCTTTTTTATCCAAATCTCTTGGATAGACAACAAACACATGATGGCTGTCAATCTCTTGTGATTCTGGGCTGGTAAAGTATCATATAAGTTGCTAGAAACCTCTCTGGAATAAATGTCTGGAAATCTCATGAGATCAAGGAGAGAGCAGTGAGGCTTGCTGCAGATTTATTTGTAATTCCAGCATTATGGAGTTAGTCAACCATTTTTCTCACTGATTATTTAGACTACGTGACTTGTGCTGATTTGAAATGGGTTATTCCCTTAGTATGTGATAGAATGGGCATAGAACTGTTAAGTTTGAAATGGAGTTCTTCATCTCTGGATCTCTCTTTCCACTACCAACCCCAGCCCCCACCTCACTTTCTGTTGCCTTTTACAAATGTCACAGGACTCATATGGGTGAAATCAATATAGCCCAACATTTCCAAACATGGGCACACATAGACCCAGGGGGACACAAAAACTCTCAGAGGGGTACCTGGGATGGGTAATTTTAAGGAAATAAACTTTAAATTTTCTCAGCCTTCACATGCATATTTGCCTAAAATCTATCTTCCTGAGAATCCCCTGCATGGCCAAATATTTTGCTATCTTCTTTCTTAATCACCTACTCCCATTTCACAAAAGAAATGCATCCTTCTTTACCAACTCAGATTTTGCCACATAGTGCATTTACAGAATACAAAACATTTGAGGCACTAAAAAAAGGGGCCATTTGAAATACTGGTGCTGACAAAAGTGAGTGATTCTGATGCCTGGGTACCCTTTCAGATATAAAGAGGTTTCCAAGTCTTTGCTTTCAATAAAATTAAAAGTCCATATCTATTCATCAGTTGATACAGCATTAAAAATAAGTTTTCATGAAAGATTACTATGTGATCTGAGACATGTAACTCAGAAAGAAATAAATTAATGACATTGCTATAATACAAGTCCAGCTATTCTCATCTACTCATTTACGCAAGATTTCTCAGCATTTACATCTATACGATGAAGAATGGGAAGAAAATTCATGCTGAATCATGTCCCATTCTATAAATAATTAATATTTATCTAAAGCATATTAAAAATAGAGAGACAGTATGAGAGAGCTATGGTCTGAATATGGTCTGTCACCACCAAAAGTCATGTTGGGGCTTGGTCCCCAATGTGACAGTGTTAGGAGGCAGTGACTTTAAGAGGTGATGAGATCATTAAGACAGATTAATGTCTTTCTTAAGAGACTGGATTAGTTCTTGGGAGAGTGGGTAGTTATAAAGTGGGTCAGTGTCCTTTGTCCCCTGTCTCTTTCCCCACACACCATTTCTGCCTCCATTTCTCCCACGTGACTTTACACAGCACGAGGCCCTCGCCACAAGTGCCAGGTACGGCCGCCCAATCTCGAATTTCCCCTCCTGCAGAATCTGCAGCTAAATAACCACTTTCCTTTACAAATTACTCAGTCTCAGGTATTCTGTCACAGCAATACAAAATGAACTAAAACAGCCCATCCAAGAATCATAAATTTTTTTTT